AGAGGGTAATGGGCCCGAGACGGAGTTGGTGGCGAACGGCAACAGGACCCCGAGGCCGGATGGATGTCGGGAAAGTGCAGTAGCATCGAAATTGCCTGTCGGACAATTGGCGGCAGCCGCGGCCAGAGCAACAGCAGCTGCTGCGGCAGCAGCATTGGCGCTCATATAGGACTGACAGACAACGGCAGAGGAGAGGAAAGAGGGTAGTGTGAGCACTGGACCCGACGAGCCAGGAGTGTTCGGTGCTATGGAAGATGTGGAGGAAGAAGATGATGCCGAGAAGGGTACAGGCGAGGCAGAAGATGCAGCGGAAGCAGACGAAGATGGCAAGGAAGGCGAGGTGAAAGGGCGGCCCGAGGTCGGATAGAGAAGGGGCTGGGAGGAGAAGGAATCTGCTAAAAACGGCCCCGGTGGGGTGACCCGAAGAGGGTCCTCTGAGCTGATGCCAGCGGCCAATGTAAGAGTACTGAGTAGCGGTTCACCAGACGAACCAGGGAACTCTAACAGCGGAGCCATGGGCACCGAGACAGCGACTTGTGGAGTGGCGAGTGACGGCACCGTCTGGTGGGTGTAGGCGAATGAAGATGACACCAGACTGTTGGGTGAGAGCGAGGCCGTAGAGGCCAGCAGCTTGTGCTCATCGGTGGGGACGAGTCCGGCTCGACTTGCGTTTGCGCCTAAAAATGAGTGCGAGGCCAGGCCGGCCACACTCCCACGCCGGGACAGACTAAGGCCCAGTGATCCGCTGACTGGCAGACTGAGAGCCAATGCACACTTCGCCTGATGACGATTGACCGCACTGATACAGGTGAACTGTTTTCCGCAGACACGACATTGCATCTCAGAGGTTTTCAGATGCATCTGCAGGTGGATGATCTTCATGTGATATCGCATACTGCTCTTGATCTCGTATACTTTGCCGCAATATTTACATTTGAACACCTTTCTGCCATCAAGAATCCGCTCACACTCGTCAATTAGCGCATTCAACTTGTCCGCGTTGGCTATCCTCCAATGCCTCATCTCAAATTGACTGCGTAACTCACGCTCCCGAGACACGTTTGTTGTTACCTCACCGTTGCCTGAACCTCCAGGCCCAGAAAGTCCGGGACCGGTGGACTCTAACAAATCGCCAGACGAGTTGGAGCACGCCTTCTTCAAGCAGTATCGCCTCTTCTCACGACGAAGACTGGTAAGTAGTTGAGTCTGGACGTGAGGATAACCGAGAGGTACAGAAGCAATTGAGTCAGCGTTGAATAGTTCTACTCCAAATTGATTAGCCTCCGATTCTGTCCGAATGAAGTCCTCCTCTGCCCAGTCTTGCCTGCCAGAAAGGTTATTGGTCATTCCACCCGAGATGAAATCATCGTTGTTGGACAAGTCCATATTTCCCGATGCCTCTCCAGAACAGTTTGTCTTTCCCAAATCTGCGCTTCCCGAGGTATGACGATACCTGAGCGTCGGAAAGTTGTCCTCTCGATGACGATTTGGCGCATCCGAGGAGCACTGGTTGAAATAAGGCTCATTGCCAGTCGGCAGAGAGGACAAGTTGGACGTCTGATTGGTGCGTCTTGCACGTTTTGCCAAAGTCAACGGATGCCATGCATCGATATTTACTGCAGAAGATGAATCCCTCTTCAATTCAGATTCATTCTCACTCATAGCATCAACCTCTCTTTCATCAAACTCATTACCTTCACTGTCCTCTTTTGCATCTCCTTGGTTGGCGCCATTTGTCTTTACCTCACTATCAACCTCTTTGAACTCCTCCCCATCTTGCCTTCGAGTCACCGAACAACTCTCCGGATCATTGTAATCTCTTTCGTCCAATTCGTCCGTTTCATTTACCCTCTCCTCTTCGTCCTCGTGGCATTCCTCGACATTGAACAATTCTTCCATCTCCTCTTCCAACCTGCATGATGGTCCTGAGTTTCGGTGTTGCCGTCGTCGATATCTTGCGGAAGTCCGTAGGACTGCTGACTTTGCCTTATGATTTAAATGATCATCTCTTACTATGCTCTGTGCCTCCTTGTCTATATGCTTATTTTCTTCTTTTCTGCTTTCACCTATCTCACTGGCCTCGCAAACACCCGATTCTTCACTTCTTTCATCCGTCTGCTTTTTCCCTTTCTGTGCTTCTCCGTCACTTTCCACAGAATGTACCTGTCCTGCCAACAGTTGCGAGCGCCTAGATTTACTAAAGGCGGAGGATAAATCACGTTCCGATCGTGAGTCTGAAGTTGACTGGAAAAAACCGGCAATGTGGCATTAATTCAGTGGCTTACACTTAAAATAGCAGATCCATTTAGTCAAAAATGAGCTAAAGCACCAATGTCTAGAGTCTCTGGGGCGCAATCTAGTACCGTATTAGCATTAGATAGATAATAAAAATTGGCTACATATTCAGGTAGTTATATAGATTGCAAATAATTTTATCAATTTACTCATGATGTGTATAGACTGTTAGGAGGCGAAATGTATAGGCTATTGCAATACCATGACTCCATTTGTTGAAAATGCCAAATATAATGTGATTGGGGGTAGACAAAAAATCAAGATTGCCTAATCAGGCAATGAGTACGAAGTCTTGCTGAAATTATGCTCATTGCAATATCAAGTTATAAATAACTTTTATCTTATATGATATGTTTAATCTTCCAATGTGTGATTCGATTTTTATTTCGAATAAAAAGTTGCTTGGACGAAATTCGTGGATTGGTCTTGGAGTGAAGACTGTGCGAAGAAGTTCTCGGCTTAACGTCATGCGATCCTGATAAACCCGTGCTAAACTTTCATCAAATCGAGAAATCATGCCACCAAGATAATAGGTGGCTAGCAGCAAGCTTATTCACTACTTATACTTAGTTTTATTATCTTAATTCAGAAATTAGTAGGTTTACAACCGGCCACCTATTCTCTTGGTTGGTTATGTTGGTACCATACTCGCAAAGTATTGTTTTCTTGCTCTGGTGATTTCTGTCACTTGACAGTCAAAAGCTTGGCATGGATTCATCAGGTTCGCAGGAAGGTAAGCTGAGGACTTCTTCGCACAGTCTCCACTCCAAGGCCAATTCACGAATCTTTTACCAGCAATATTTCCTTGGAAATAAAAATTAAATCACACATTAGCTGATTACATATCACCAAGATCAAAATGTCTTATAACTTAATATTGAAGAGAGCATAATTTCAGCAAAACTTCGTGCTGACAGACGAAAGCTTAACACAAGTCCATCGTGATCGCAAGAGGGTGAGCCGGGACCCTCTTGACACATCAAACAGGCTTCCTACTAAAGCAATCCACCTTCGGTTTCCAGTGAAACCAATTCACGTGCTACTTCTAACTAACTTATCCTTCAAATTGAAAAGTTAAGTCACAATAAAGATCATAGAGATTCTTCGAAACACAGCTTTATTTGCATATGAATCATCTTGTGTTTCAAAGTGCTCAAACCCTGTGTTGAGCTTAGTCATTAGATTATTGTAAAATAGGCTTTAACAAGGCCATTAGTTAATGCTATACTTGCAGCTACAAATTGCAAAATGTATGACAGAATAAGGTTATATGAAATGTATTCACCCAATTTTGTTTAAGGTGATGAAGGACTGGTAGAAGAATTTTCCCACAATGATATGAGTA